TCTTCCCCTTTACTCTGCTCTTGTACTCCACCTGGAGTACTGCGTTTAGCTCTGGAACCCCTATTGTAAGGACATAGACCTGTGCAAGACATATTCCTGTGCAAGTCCACAGGAATGCTACAAAGATGATTGGAGGTCTGGAGCACCTGTCCTATGAAGACAGTCTGAGAGATTTTGGGTTTTTCAACCTGGAGAAGAGACCTTATAATGGTCTTTCTGCCCTACACACTGACATAACATTTCCCCTTCATGGGTCTCTTAAAGAGATTGTAGGTGTTTTGTAGTTGACTTTTTTTCTGAGCTTATTGCATGTAGATGCAAAATAAAATATATGTGTAGCAAGCCTTTTAGGTAGATTTTTGAATTTAAATTTAATCTGATGGATATAGACTTCAGAAGGAACACAGATACTTCTCTTCAGTTTTAAATTCTAAACCTGATCATCAACTACGTCATAGTTTACCAGGAATATTTACTGTTTTTCTCTGTCAAAACCAAAATCTATCTTGTGGGCCAGTGGGGTTACATAATATTATTTTTTATTATTTACATAATGGTACACAAAACAAGAGGGAATTTGAGATAATAGGGGCCTGAGTGGGAATCATATAATTGTGTAAATATGAAAATAGACATTTTATGGGAGAAGAGACAGTTAAAAAAGCACAAAATGTATCAGAAAAAAAAATCTTGTACACACACAGAAAAAAGTCATCCAAACTTTCAAGTTTATTTTTTTTTTTGTAAGCCCAAAAGAATGTCTACTTGACAGAATTGTCCTTATAGTTTATGACTAGAAAATATTTAAATCACATGTTTGCATATGTGTCATATAAGAGTCCTTTCTAGTTCCTGGTTTCCTAGAATTTTTTTTTCAATAACTTGTTATTTGTATATGAAAATGTGAAACTGGTAGCTGCAGTATTGTACAACTTGTTAGACAATGACAGTTTGTATATTTCACTGGTTTCAATCTTTTTATGAATTGTGATTACAGTGAAGAATGCTATCATACAGCAAGGAGCTCTCAGTGTTTACCTGGTCATCTTCCCTATTTTTTTTTCCACCCCAAAAAAAAATAAATATTTCTCTTGTGTTTAAAATAAGCATAAAGGCACTTCATAATTTTACAGTAAAAATGAGTGCACAATTGGTGTTGGTGTACCAATCCCAAGGTAAGGGAGGTAAAAGTAGTTAATTACCTTTTAGGGAGGTAAAAGTAGTTACTCTGAAGTTTTTTCATTATTTTCAGGTAATTTCTGGAAGTAGAATTTTGGCAGTCATTGTAGATAATTCTCTGCAATACTCATTAAAGAAAAAAAAAATATATATTTTTTTTCCTTGAGTCCATAATAGATTCCCCTGAATTAAGCAGGATGGTTTTATGCAATTCTTCATGTGAATCTATTGTTTTAAATGGGACTCCATCAGGTATGCTATGATCCACTCAGATGATATTTGAGAGATTAATGCAGTAAACATCATCTAAATAATCAGGATTTTATGTTCTGTATGTTAATGTATGTTACTGCAAACTGCTAAAGCAGCATGAAGGATTATGTAAAACGGACACAGTTCCTAGTCTTTTCAATAAAGATATTCATTTTTATTTATTTTAACATAATTCATAGTCCATAACAACTTGTACTTAAAATAAACCAATAAAAACAGTGCCAGAACCAACATGGAAAGAAAGATCTGTGAGGTAAAGGGTAATTTCCCTCACCTCACTCCAAGTATTTTCCTTTTCTTGAACTTATTCATACCTCTCTGTTTATTTTTTTCCATGATTTACTCTTTTGGTAAATTAGCCATACACACAAAACATTTTCTCTATGATCAGATGGAGAAAATGAAAAAAAAAAAGGCCAATAAATCAGCAACTTTTCTCTAATGTCAACATAGTACAATGATACCACCTTGCAGCAGACTTAAATATTTGAGTAACACCAGAAGGAAGAAATATTTGATTACTAAACATGCTGGGGCTCAGATATATGTGTTGTTATGAATATAAACATTCATTAAAAAGTTAAATTTAGTCTTGGTGTCTTAAAATATTGTCAGACACAATAACATTTATCATTTATCAGTATAGTTTCTGACTGACTAAATGGTGTTCTTGGAAGACTTGCTCACAATCAGAAATAAAGCAGACTATTTTTTTTTCTATATTGAATATTGAGGTAATTGTCAAATAAAAATGTAACTAACGTTTGTCTTCCATTTTCTGTGAAAGGGGTGTTATGGATTCCAGTAGTATTTGATTGCTTTTTTTTTAGTTTCCTTTTTTAATCCAAAAAAAAAAAAGGGATTGTAGAAACAGTCACATATATTGTAAACAATCATTAAAAAACTGCAATTAAAAAAACATCACACACTGAGTATCTCTGAAGAAAATGTCTGTAAGAGACAAATTCACTAATTTGTTCAGTATACTTTATTGTTATTTCAATAGTTTTTTATTTTTATTTTATTTATTTAGGAGATAAATCAGGTGATCTCTAAAATTTAGGTGATCTCTAATTCATAATCAATCTGTGGCTCACAGCTTTCAGTTCAATCTTTTGCTTTAAGTTTGCAGAATAACTTTTGGTGGAGGTAACTGGAAATGACTTCCATGCACAAAGTAGTGGTGAAATCAAAAATCTTGAAAATGTGTACTAATTCTTCTCACTTTAAAACCTGAATAAGCCCTGTACAGGGCTTTTTGTGTAAAGCACAAAAAACATTGATTTTAAATGTTCATTTCTGGTCTGTGTAAGCTGAAACAGGTGGTTTACAGGTATCTGACTGAGGTTGCCAGAGGTTTCTTTTTATTAAAAGGGAATTCTTTGGGTCATGAGTTTATAAGTCTTATTTGTCTTACTTATAAATTATTAGTATGAAAGCAGATTGTATTAGAATTTAATGTTTCTGTGTTGTTGAGCAAGGCTCAGACTATAAATAAATAAATAAATAAATAAAAATGTTCTGTTATTAGCCAATTCAGTTGGGAAAAAGGCCTTGCATATAATGTGAATTATCTTCTAGAGCAACTGTGCAACTGTTTTTTGTTTGTTTGTTTGTTTTTAAGATGTTTGGAGAATATTCAAGAGAGAATACTGTTGTTAAAAAGTGAAAAAGAGAATTTCTGGTTGAACTGTTTTATTATTATTATTATTATTCTGTTTCTGATAACACTGTTGGTCTATAAAAGATAAAATCAAAATTACATCGTCCTGTTGAAAGCTGGAAATCATAGGTCTCTAGAAACACTTTCATATCTTTTCCCAAGTTTAATAATCTACAATCTAAATTAAATTTATGTGAATCTCTCCTGTCTTTGTTTTAAATGCAAATACATAAATACACAGTTTTTAAAAAGCAAATTTGAGTAAATGATTTCACACTGCCCTTTGCTTCTATAAAATCAGCACTTTGGGGAAGATTGTATTCAGGGTTATTTCAGAATATTTAAAAAAAAATCATTTTTAACAAAACCTCAAAGACCAATCTAAACTCACTCATACATTTTTTTTTTCCTATTTTTCTCTCTTAAGTCAGTAAAGACCAGAGGTTAGTGTTTGCTGACTCCAACATACACTGTTCCTTTGCTCTTTTGTTATGAGAGACATGTATGTTTGCGATGTTGTCAGGGAGCAGACAGGCAGACTGCTTTCCAAGTGAAGGAGAGCTGGTAGGCTGAGGTAGTGCTGTCTGGGGCCCAGTTCTACAGTACTTAAGCCAGGTCAGCAGAGCAGGTTCAGGTCCAGATTATTAGACAAGTCCACAGTGATGGGGAAGGTGTGGGAAGCCAAGTCCATTCTGAACCAGGGCTGGAGCTCAGCTCTGGATCATAGATTAACAGAATGGTTTGGCTTTGAAGGAACCCACCTCTCAAGCCTGTCCAGTTCCCTCGGGATTGCATCCCTTCCTTCTAGCATGTTGACTGCACCACACGGCTTGGTGTCATCCACAGACTTTCTGAGGGTGCACCCAATCCCACTATCCATGCCACCAACAAAGATGTTAAACATTACTGGTCCCAATACCAACTCATGAGGAACACCACTTGTCACTAATCTCCATTTGGACATTGAGCCATTGACCGCAACTCTTTGTGTGACACCATCCAGCCAATTTTGCACCCACCAAGTGTCCATATGTCAAATCCATGTCATTTAGAGACAAGGATATCACATGGGACAGTGTCAAATGCTTTGCACAAATCCAGGTAGATGATGTCTGCTTTTCCCCCTCCACCAGTACTGTAACCCTGTCACAGAAGGCCACCATATTTGTCAGGCATCATTTGCCCTTAGTGAAGCCATGTTGGCTGTTACTAATTTGTCCTTTTTTTCTGTTTGCCTTAGCATAGTTTCCAGAAGGATCTGCTCCATGATCTTGCCAGGCACAGAGGTGAGACTGACTGGCCTTTAGTTCCCTGACTCTTTTTTTTTTTTTCCCCCTGTGGCTAGAGCCACATATATCAAGTACATATATTCTCTTGTTAGTGAAGACTGAGGGAAAAAAAGGCCCCTTTTCCTCCAGGATGGAGGTTCCCATCCCTCAGCAACTCTAGTTTAAAGCCTTCTTTACCAGCTTGGCAAGCCTGTGACCAGAGATGCTCTTCCCCAAATCTTCCACAAATATGGTGGCCTTCTGAGACAGTGAGCAACACTAGTTCAGCCTCTGGGAGAGCAAATTTAAGGCAGGGAAAAAAAACTGCTGCACAACACCAGCTGGGAGAGAGGAGTGAGAAAATGGGAGAGAACCAGCCCTGTAGACACCATGGTCAGTGCAGGAGGACAGGATGTGCTCCAGGCCCCACAGTAGAAGTTCCCCTGTGGCCCCTGGTGGAGCAGGCTGACCCCTGCAGCCCATGGGTGGAGTAGATCTCCACGCTGCAGCCCATACCCTGTCAGAGCACTGGGCACTCAAGAGGAAGTTGATCTTTTTATCTGAAAGTTGGAATCTGGCACCTCACCCACCTCCCTCCCCTGCTTTCTTTACTTAAGATGAATGGAAGAACAAACACCTTGAGAACATTATATGAAATTGTCATGTTGAATAAGCATAAGATATTGTTTGGAAGAACTCTAATGAACAACAAACCGGTAAGAACTATTAACATTCTGAAAATTAGCCAATACAGTATCTCAGAACATACGAGTTCTAGTACTCTGCTGAGCAGTGATTTATACTGAAATCAATGATACCAAACTTGTCTATTAAATGTACTAACATATGCAAAATCATTTTGTGAATATTCTAGAGATCCTTGAGTATCTGGTATAATAAATATTAAAAATTATCGTTGTAGACATGAGCTTGTAGCCATCCTGGGTGCACTGAATTAAATTTTACAGACACAGATAAGTAAATTTATCTTTCACATCACCTCTTGGCTTGATAGTCATCTTGTGCTTAATTGCTTGACTGAAATTCAACCTTGGATAGCTTTGTGATTTCACTCTACGTGAAGTCAGCCAAAAATGAATTGCTATTGATTAGCATCATCACTGTGAAAAGGTGAACTTTGAGGCTTAGAAACTGTAGTTGTGTGTTTTGGCAAATGTTTTGTAAAAACTTATGGGGTTCTGGTGTACCAAATCTATCATGGATATTCGTAAGACATTATGATTGTATATTTATTCAGAAAGATACAGATTTCGTGAATCACTGAACAGTGTTTGAATAACTATAAATCTGAGCAATTTGAGGGAGAAATAATTTGTTGGTAAATAGAACTACGTAATTCTTTTTTTTCTACTTACTGTACATAAATTCAGTGTTTTAAATAAAGTTTAAAGACATCATGAGAATCTAGCACAGTTCTGAGCATTGGAATTAACATCTTAGACTCCTGTCACTAGTGGGAAGACCATGAGGGGAAAAAAATAAAAATAAAATAAAGATAAAAATAAAAAAGAGGAAAGGTCAATCCCTATTCCATGTTTAATATTAGTACAGATGCTTACCACATTCTAGAGGATTTAGTTTTATATTTCGAAGACTGTGAGGTAGCATAAATGTAATATATGTAAGCTTTTCACTCTGTATCATTCTCTACCCAGATGGGAAAAACAAACAAACAAGAAAAATTACAACAGCAAAGTTAGTAGTTTAGTAGCTGTGTAAAGTATTTTTATACATGGAGAAGTCCATAATGTAAAGATAATTACTATATAGTAGTATATGGTTTGAAAAATTAAAATTAGTTCCCAGTTAGTCTGCCAATATGATGCAGAGAGTAAAAGAAATATATTTCTTCCTTTCTTGCTACTGTACATAATCTTAGATCAAAAGCCCACTTCAATTTTAAGAACTGTTTGAACTGTTTTGAGCTGTCTCCAAACAGTACCTTCAATGGCATATCAACATGTTAATACTTACCAAAGTTTTAACAGTGGGACAGTGGGTACATGTTTTTTTTTTTGTTTTTTTTTTGTTTTTTTTTGTTTTTTTTTGTTTTTTAAGAGGAACATGTAATACATTATAAAAGGAACAGCTGAGGAAGAATACTTTTGTTGGCAGAATAAAATAACTCTAAACATAATCCATTCAATTTTTACCTCTGAGAAGTTACTTTTTTAGTTGATACTTAGTCTCTGTATTTATGTGAATGGGCTCAGAATTTGGATATGGCTCTAATGAATTTGCTAGTGAGTATATTCTTATAATTTCTGAGTTCTTTTGTCTCTGTTTTCCCATTTATTCCTTTTGCTAATAAAGTGTCCATAACTAAATGACAGAAAGATTTGATCTCACTTTCAAACTGAGAATATCATGTCTGGGTTCTGATGTTTACATGGAAATGTTCTGAATCATCAGCACTGCTGGTCTTCGTTATCAGTAATGATGCTTGTGGAGAAGAAAACACTTTGTTTTTTTGTTTTTCTTGCTTTGCTCAATCTCTGGGGAAATCTAGTTTATTATATTTAAAACATTATCTAGAGAAATATTTGGAAAAGAATATGATTGTTGTTAGTAAATACTAATACTTTCTATTTTCCATTGAATATGATTTTTGTCTTTACCAGACTGACAAAAAATATTTATTTGTACTTTGATTATATGTATATATATATATATATATAATACAATACATATATTTCAAAGGATCATTTGTCCTTTGATAATTTAAATATTTTCTTGAGAATCCTAGCAAACTGCATGAATGATTGACATGTTTGTTCACTTTCATTTTGATCCATGCTTCTAAATGAATATATATTTTCATGCATATTGTTTCATCTTTTCTTGACAGTTTCTTTCCTGGAGGCTTTTCTCAGTATTTAAGAAAATTCAAATGGCATGAATAATACAATGAAATGATTTAAAATGGATTAATTTTTGTGACTCATTGTTAATATTTGATTTTACTTAGAAAGAACTTTACCAAGTATGTATCTATCTTCTACTAGACAACAGGTTATAATATACTTATCCTTTCACTCTTATCTGGCTACAGTTCAGACCCAGTTAGAAAGCTATTTTACTTTTGAGAGGAAATGTAATTCAATTTCTTTTGTGATTTTTTTCTACATATATAAGCTATTTGTGCTTGAAGATATGGTTTTGACTGAGGAAAATAGGAGCAGCTGACTCACTATAGCTGGCCAAGTTAAGGGATAAAAAAATATTTAAATGTAAAATTGAATGACTTTTCTCAGTTTTTCCATTTTTACATTTCTTTTACATTCACTGTTTTCCATCATAATTGATGTGTTCTCAAACAACAACGACAATAAACAAACAAAACCACACCCACTTCTAATCCCTATCTGTGGTGTTCTGTTAAAATCTAGTACTACATTTTATAGTGTCCTTGGAACAGGACACTAACATTTAGGCATATGCCTATCTATATGTATACATATATATGTCTCTTTACATATATGTAAAAATTATGTTTTATTATCTACATATATTACTGTACGTGCAACTTATTTACAGTCAAGACCATGACATAAAATAGTCAGACCAGGAAGACTAAAGCAGGCTTCTCAGTGTGCAAACAATGTGGCTTGATAGTGTCACGTAGCATTCTTTTGAACAAAGGCTCCTCAGCCTCAGTGTGTTGAACTCTCTGTGAAAGAAGCAAAGGTAGCAAAGGTTTAAATGACCCTGTCATTTAAACAGTTTGAGCTGGCTTTTGTGGTTATCTGAAGATCTTTTAATACAACAGCACCACTCTTCCTATGAGTTTAGTTGCAGGGCTAGACCCCTTTTAAATAATGTAAAAAGATGTGACGCTTTGTGTCAAAACAGGTAAGCCTAATTCTGAGAGTAGTTAAATTCAGTTGTGAGGAGCTGATCAAATATATATATATACATATGTATATATATGTACATATACACATGTATTATGCCTTGATATTACAAACACTTTGCTCAGTTTCATTACTGAGAACACTTCTGGTCCATGGGACATGTGAAGAACTAGGGCCTTAAAGAACTGAAAATCTTATAGAAATAAGGTGGGAAGATAAAAGTTTATTAATTGATTTAGCAAGATAACCACATTGTTAAAATTAACAGGGTCTGAATTTGGTTTCTCTGATGTAATGTCTCATTCTCTTTGTTTTACATTCAGCAGCTTTTCATTATCTGCCATAAATTTATTTTAGAATAAAAGTAAGCAATATCTGAAAACAAAACAAAACAAAACAAAACACCTCTCTATTTCTTTCTAAAGCCTTCCTTGCTTAGAATAATGTGTCTTCCACTGTTGTCAGTCTCCATACTTTCATCATATAGTTGATTCTGTCCTTCATGGAACTAAAAATTGTAAAGATCCTAATCTTTTTACTTTTGTACATGAGCAGTTTTAATCTTTTTTTTTTTTTTTTTTTTTTTGTTGGTTGGTCGGTTGGTTTTGTCCATTGAAAGAACCAGAATCTTTCATTTGCACATTTTTAATCTATTTTAATCTGTTTTAATCTTTTGATAAGTATCTGTTGATAATAACTTGTTAGTAGTAAGTGCTTGCAATCACAATCTTCCAATAAATATGTTAGTACCAGTTTTGTGCTATAAAGATCAATTTGTTTTACCTTTGTTTTTCATTTTTAAACCTGAGAAGCATTTATTACATTCTTGACATAAGCACTATCTCCTTGTCTCTGAAGAGTAAATAAAATCAGCTGTGAGATAATTACGTCCTATGATTAGTAATGTGGCTTTTTGTTGCTGCTTTTAATTCCTCCTGTATGTGGATTAGATTAATGAATTAAGAAAACTTGTTTATCCTAAATTAAGGTAGCACTAGTGATTATAAAAGATAATTATGTTAAGGTTATTAATTGCGATGTTAAGAAGTAGAGTAGTGTGAAATATTTCTTTTGGTTATTAGTAGTCTCTAGTGATGAAGACAATTTATAACTTCAGTATAATGAAAATTCCTTGTAGTAATTCTAAAGTAAAAACAGACAATACATGAGAATGTGATTATATTTTATCTTTAGGGAAATAGGAAGTGAACTTTGACACTGTCAGACCAAAATCAATCTCAGCGTAATTTAAAAGATTTTTTTTTTAATAATGTTGTTCCATAAATATAATGGAAAGAAATAAGATTTTGGTTGCTAGTTACCATTTTTAAATGTTATCTATCTTATGCTTTACTTTTCTGGAAATACAATTTATGAAAAACTTGTTGTTCAAGTTCTTGATTTTACATGCCATGGAAAAGTACATCTTGGTCTGATTTTTAAGATGCCCACCTTACTTGAGGTGAGGCTGTTAGCTTCTTCTTATAATAAAAAACAGATTTTATTGTATTATTCTTCTTCCCTTTTCTTTTTTGTTTGTTCTCTTGCTCCCTCCATAAATTCTTCCCAGGTAGAAAGGTTGAAGCTTGAGAATACCTCTGAATGGGGAAAGAGAGAGAGACTTGAAGGAGAAAAGCAAAATTTGGAAGAAGAAAGCAGAACATTGAAGTTGCAGGTGAAAGAAATTCAGAGACTTCTGGAGATGAAAAATAAAGCAACACCGATTAAATTGAGCTGTGATCATCAAAATACACAAAGCAAGCTGCTGGTTAAAAATAAGGTATGTGCATTTCTTAGTTTGATTACTTGAGGAGCATGAAGAATTACTATTTCATAATAATAATAAAAAAAAAAAATGTCCCTAAAACAAGAGCTGTAAAAGACAGAAGATCTGTGTTTGTGCATATCAGATATGCACAATTAGTGCTCAGTGACTTTGAATTTCTGCAGGGTACAGAAACTGAAAGATTTTTTCATTTTTAAAAAGAATCACGGGAAACTGTAAGTCTGAAAAGAAGACTATGGAGCAAAAGTTACGACCAGGAGGATTTGAAGAGATTAATTAATCTTTGGTAGCTACAGAGTACTGATAAAGGTTAAAGCAAACAAAATGTGAGACAAATCATTTATCTGTCTTTCTGAATATGTAATCTCCCTTCAGAAAAGAGAAAACTGAATGAAGAACAATATTTCTTATTTTTTATTCTTCTAAAATCTGTTCACTTTTAAAACATTATCGTATAGCTATTTATGCAATAGCGTAAAATATTCAGAGCAAAAATTATTCAGAGACCCTTGTCTCTGTGTATTTCTTCTATTTTATGTTTTTCTATGCCAATACATTAAGTAGTGATCTGGAAGACTTCCACTTTCATTGAGACTCTGAAAGCTGTATAAGAGAAAGCAATAAACTAACAAAAAACACATTAAATGTACATACTTAATGTTGCAAATTGGGCAATGAGAAGCATTTTTATTTGCTTAAATAAGAAATTGTTTAATTTACAACACTAAATGCACATGAAATGACAATACCAACCAGAGGAACTAGGAGCAGATTTGAGGTATTGTTACACTAGGTAATTTTTCTTGGGAAAGATTAGGAGAGAGACTATTCTATACCTGAGGTCTGCTTATAAATGTAATGAGTTTCCTGTATTTCTGTGGTGGCTCAGGAACAGCAAATTGTATTTCACACATATAGTTTACCTTTATACAATATCTTCTTATACAATGAACACCTGTCTTTGATTTTCCATTACTGGTATTTATCATATTATGTGATATGAGGATTTTCGTGATTTCTTTGTAATGCAAGTAATGTGAGGTTAGAGATGTGGCCAGAAAGACGGATATCTGCTTTGACATTTTACTGTATTTAAAATATCTTTTAGTTATCTAGATTTATTATTTTATTATTATTTTTTTTAATGTTACTTGTATAGAATATTAGACATCTGTGATCAGGTTTATCTGTTAGTATAATTGCTGTGAGAATATTTTACATCCTTTCATCAAAGTCAAAAGGTGGATATGAAGCTCAAGCATCTCTCTTTTCCTATTATAAAAGTGAATGTTCCTGTAGTGTTTGCTTTTTCATAGCTGGTGATTTTAGGATAAGATTGTCTTCATAACTATTAACTATCGGTTTCAATGAGAAAATTAAAAATGATAATTTATTAGCAGATGAAACTGTAAACCATCATCTGGTAGCTTGATAGTAGTTATCATCCAAAGAATGGGGTGGGAAAACATTTATTTGCAGCTGTTTCTCTCTGTGATTCACAATAACTCCTGCAAATCATGGAATCAGAGAACATCATCAAAAAACATAGAATAACTTTGAATTGTAATCCAGAAGCCCCTCCCCCCCCCCCCCCCCCCCCCGACCTTTTTTTGTTTGTTTGTTTTCTTTTTTTTTCTTTTTATGGCATGGTGGTTTGAGTTCAATTAAAATAACATGCTGTACAGAGGACTGGAAGAGTGCATAAGGATTTCTGTATGACGTGGGTGATGGTTAGGTGTTTAGGTAAGCAAAAGGAAGCATATGCAAGATTTAAATCACAGCTATGTAGAGATTTTTATCAATTTTTATATGAATGATTACAGATTTACATATAAAGTACATACAAGATATATAGGTAATGTGTTGTTGAATGAACTTGAGAGCAAAACAATTACCTCATACCCTTACTTCTCCAAAACCTGCATATGCAATAAGGAGATCTGTTATAGTTGTTTAGAACAGCATATAGTGATGTATGTCTGATTCATTCTTTTAAATGTTATAAACAACCAATGACCACATTTGTTTTCCTTTTATAACAGTTTATAAATGGAATATAACAGAATATTAGACAGGGTATCAAAAGACAAAGGGATATCCTTGTGTAAAGAATTTCATGTTGATGATGTCTTGCTTTTTAATATGGACACCTCTAAACTATATAGAATGCATGCAATCTCTTGCCATGTATACAAATTGAAATTCTGAGTAGAAAAGTTAATATGAATCATATTTTGCTCAAAACATGAAGCCTTAATATTATTCTTAGCTGGCAGTATGTTGGTTGAAAATGTTTCCATGTGCAGTTTTTAAAAGGTTAACTCCTGTCATACAAGATGAGAAAAATTGATGAAACAATTGAGATCAGACATCATAACTACATTGTTTTATTGGTTGTACTTGATGGAACAGAGAATGCCCTTTAAATTAATAGCTGAATCGTTTGATGTGTAGAATGGCAAAAAATATTAAATGGATCTAACTTGTTCATCTAGGAAGGGATAAAATGAAGAAAAAAAATTGTTGATGGTATAGATCAATACCCAAAACATGCTTTTTATGGAGAGAAATTTTCTATCTCAGCTGTAAGTATTACTTTTAGGCAAATTTATATGTTAATTTAGATAAATAATAATTGTGTTATTTTGCATTCTCTCTAATTGTTATGCTAAAAATCTGCTTTATTATGTGTTGATTCACTGAATATGTTTTGTAGGGGACTAGTACAGGATCTAAGTCTAGAATGCAAAGCTGTGAAGATTGGGGATTCATAGACTATTTTTTTTTATTAACTTTAGTTTCCAACTTTAATACAATAAAGCTATAATATTAGGAAAAAATGCATATATCTTAAAGATGTGATGACATATAACGTACTTTTATGAAACCATTTTAGCTTTACATTATTTAGCAAGATTGCTAAGTAATGTTAAGCTAATCATCAACAACATCAATATTTTAGGTTTGATTTTTCAGAAGTAGGACGCACTCCATTTTTTATTCAAATTCTTTGAAAAATTAAGACAAGCTGAGTTTATATGGCAAGGTGGTGACAACAGGAGAGGGACAAGGGCTACAGATCTCCTCTCAAAAGCAAAGGTAGGCTCCAGTGGCCCCACCTCAGGGCACGGCTGGGCCTAGAAGCCAAGATGAGTGAATATCAGCCAGGCCACCCTGGCCCTTCCACCAGAATGATATTGTGGGTTTATCCTACATGGGAAATATTTCATTTTTATGATAATGTCTTAAATGAGATTTAATTCTTATAGATATGAACTTTTGTTTTGAAATGGCTATGATATGAATGACATCCTTCCTAAATTTAACCATAAAAACCACTAACGGTTCTGAGACTAAATTGCCACTTCCTAAATCTGTTTGTTTATTTTTACTCAAATGAGGATTGAATAAGGAACAACAGTTCAATCATTGCTTCTTTAAGATCTGGAAAATCAAAATAATAACATTTTCAAAAACTGGATAAACTTTGTACATCTTTGTCAAAATATTAGTGGAAACCTATTTTAAAATTTATGAATTATTAGAATAATTAATCACATGCTGTAATCCACGTGAAGTATGTAAAATGACATGTATTTCATATTTGTATACTTGAAGAGTATACAAGCAACAGATCACTCATTCTTTCCTTTTAATCAAATATTGTGGCATAAAGTAAGTGTCTGAAATCCTAAATTCAAATCTGTCATCTAAAACTAACCAACTAAATGACTCTTCCTTCCTTTCCCCTGCTACTCCCAGCCCTCTCCCCACCCCTTCCCTCCACTGGCAAAAGTCAAAGAAGTGTTTCTTATTGTCCAATTCTTAATAGATTTCCTCCTCAGTAGATAATTTTTTAGTAACATTAGGAAATTACAGTTCAAATTATGAACAATTTTATAAAACTATGTAATTTATATTTTAACCAGCACAGTATCTGCTAGAGGAAAAAATATATGTTTAACTATGGTATTACCTCCTTCCATCTTTACTAAATTTTGTTGAGTTTCACAAGTGACTGGTGCAAATATAGAGCAGCTGCTTCATATTAGAAATAATATGATAATAGTCAGTATAGCAAAAATAAAAGGAAAGAGCACAACTGGAAGAAAATCTAAACGCCCTGTTTCTGCAGGGGCTTTAAATTTCCTTTAAAGCAAAACAGAACAAGAAAACAAACAAACAGCAAAACAAATCAAAAAAACAGGTAACATTTTACAATGTACACCAAAATAACTCAGAAAGACCTGATAAATATCCTTCTATTATGTATCGGGGAAAAAATATATCACTGCAATTTAATATTGGATTAGTTATTGCTATTAATCCTATTTTAATGCATTAAGAAATGCTCTTTGTAAGTTTTTTAATTTATTTATTATACACACACACACATATATAAATAGTAGAACTCTGGAAATAGACTGAGGAAAAGTCTACTGCTACAACTAGAACTTTCTCCATTTCCTAAATCCTTGTTTTATACCTGTGCTATGCTTCTCAGTGATTACATCTTTGAACAGGCTTTATCAGTTTTGCCTGTTCATTTCTTGCTTTTTCTTCCACATTTTGTCCCAGACACCCTTCAGTACTACATTTTGCAACACATAAGGAGTTGTGACTGTCCACTGGTGTGGACTTTTTCTCTGGTCAATTTAATCATTAATCTTAGCTTTAATATTTCGGAATTAAAACATTCTCTGTCTTGCAAGTGCTTGGAGCATCTCTCCAGTGCTTTCTTACACTGTGAGAAAAGCCTGTGAGAAAAAAATGAGTTGTTTGAACCCCAATCCCTTTTTTTTTCAGTGTCTCTGTTCCAAATGGAAAAGCTAGTACAAAATGAGATGTTCACAAAGGAATTATTTTTAGGCTGTTTATAAACAGTTTGATGAATATGTTTATAAACTCTTTGATAAATACAATGATTAATGAAAAAAATGTTTACATCTATTGTCTTATTTGGATCATTTAAAAGTTTATTCATTTTTATTTGT